GAAGCATACAGTGCAAGCACCTGATTAAGCGCTCAAATACTAACAAACTGAAAAGATCTTTTGCTGTCTATACCCGGGTACCCATTCCCACTGAGGAAAATTCGTGTAAAGTGCCTTTCCCAAGGACACAACGTCGGGCCCCTGACGGGATTCGAACCCACGACCTTACGGTTGCGAGTCCGAGAGCCTAACCACTAGGCCACCGACGCTCTTCCAGTTCTCAAGTTCTACCCAGAGAGATGCTCACTTACTAATAAAAGACTTCTCACACAAGTATATATATATCATAATAATATATATGTCACGACACAGTGGAATCAGGTGTGCGTCAATTTTGGGGCATATCGAGCTATTGGTAAAATCATAAAACCTGCTCATTTGTTTTGCTTTAGATTTTAAAAAAAATAATCATATATCTTTCATGAGAGTAGAGATATTTGCGTTTAAAGGAGGCGGGGTTTGCCCGGTGCCAAGGTAAAATTATCAAGAAAATGGCCGCCAAAGTTTGGTGACTTTTCAAAAGCTTGAATGTCCTTGAAAATAGCAATTATACATTTTTTTTTAAGCCTTTGATTAACATTTTTCGGTCACATCTGCTACGAAATGCGTTTATATATATTGATGTAAAAGGTGTTGAGCTTAAAAAACAGGGGGAAAAATTGGGGAAAAAAAATTACTGGGGAAAAAAAATTACTGGGGAAGAAAAATAACGGTGTTCTTCGATTTATTGTTTTGACGAGCGCCTGATCTCACCAAGATGCCTCATGTAGAAAGTCAACATTATGTCTCAACAGCTAATTTGCTTCCTCCCACTTCTAGTCTGTTTATAGGTCAAGAGTACAGACAGACGCCTTAACAACCGACAAACATCCCTGTTAGAACAGTTATCTCTTTCCCCTCACTCAGCCTCCGACAAAAGGCATCCCTGTGCACAGATCTTCTAATCTTCAGCAGACGGGCTTTTACTTCCCCCTTGGTATGTACAACATAATATCCTAGTTTAGTTTTAGTAGAGGTTTTACGGCGCTCGAAACTGCATAAGGTCATAAGAGCGCCAGAAGATTAGAGGTGTTACAAGAGAGTAACGAACATAAAAAAGAAGAAGGGGAGATAAGGACGATAGATGTTTGATAGGAAAGAAGAAGCAAACCACACAAGAGCACCCGCCAACCACCCACTACATAATATCCTCTTAACTGTGTGAGTCATGGGCTTTAGAGAGTGCCGCTCAAGTATGTTTTATTTCGCACATGGCCCTTGAGAAAACGCGCATGTCTTGTTTCTGTTTTGTCCAATGGATTTGTTTCAAGTTTCGGGGGACAACAACACAATCATGTCCTGTCAAAAGTACCACGAATCCCATTACTCTAAACAACTGGATGGCCATTTACAGTCTGTTCAACCCACAGCTCTGACAAACTCAACAGGGAAACCCTACCATAACATATGAAACCAAGCAAAACAGGCACACACAAAAAAGAAAACAATTGAGAGGACAGCTGCTGTACAATTACTTTCAATTTTTATGTATTTATTTATTACCTTTGGGGAGGGGGGGGGGGCAGCGCGATTGATTAACTATTGCAAATATATAGTGCTACACCCCTTTGGAACTACAGACAGAGACACTCCACACTCACTCCGACTGTCGATACAAAGATTTATTTCCCCCGAGCCACAACTTACCTAGAGTCCGACGCCCAATGCATGGCGTATATTTTTGCGAGATGACCTCGGAGTGTCCTCCGGGTTCTCATTTGTACTCTGCCTACTGTCTCTATAGAACCACATGCTTGTGATAGAGTTGTGTCACCAGCCGCTTTTCTGGCTTCCTGGAAACACAAGCACACACACATTATTTTTTTGTTTAGTATAGTTTCAGTAAGAGTTTTAAAGCACTTGCAACACAATAAAGTCATATAAGTGTCAAAGATTAGATGTGTTACTAGAGAGTAACATACACAAAAAAGAAAGAGGAGAGATGAGGATGATAGATATGTGATAAGAAAGAAGAGCAAACCACACCAGAGCACCCGCCAACCACCCACTTGTTTTGTTTATGACAGCAGCTTATTTGCCTTGGTATGATTAGTTTCCTTGTTATTGTTTTAAAGTTACACCACACCAGAGCACCCACCAATTATCCACCTGTTTGTAAGTGAACGTTCATATATTTTTTTAAGTTGAAAAGACTAGATATGATAAGCTCTTTAAAAACCAGCCCAAAGCCAATTAAACACTGAGAAAGTGGACACCTGCCTCTAACTGGACAGAACACCAATGGGAGTTGCCACAAGAACATTTCAAAATATATTTTTTACATTTTTGACAAAACTTGAAGACATTATGGTGCCCTTGCGGCACCATTCTCAAAGTAGGCAGACATTTCAGTATTTTGTAATCCATTTCCCAGCAAATTTATTATTTTTTTTAAAGGAAGGAGATTGACTGATCAAAACTGACGACACAACCAGAGACAAAATTAGATTGGCAGAGATGAAACATCTAATAATCTTAGTTTTAGTTTTACGGCACTTGCAACACAATAAGGTCATATAAGTGCTGAAGATTTGAGGTGTTACAAGAGAGTAACAAACAGAAAAAAGAAGGAGGGGAGATAAAGACGATAGATGTTTGATAGGGAAGACGAAGCAAATCAAACCAGAGCACTCGCCAACAATCCACAAATAATCTAAAATCTAGACAAAAAGAAATGAAATAAACACTTACCCTTATTTGGTTTTTTAACTGTTCTGTTTCTTGTCGCAATGCTTCTAAGTCGTTATTCATTTTGAACTATGTGTTTTTTGATCTGAGGACAAAGGAAAAATGCAAACATCTGTTTAGATAAATCATTAAAAAAATTAAACAAAAATTTAACATCAATATTTAACTTCTTTGTTTTAGTATGTGTTTTATGGCACTTGCAACACAATAAGGTCATTTAAGTGCCGAAGATTAGAGGTGTTACAAGAGAGTAACAAACACAATAAAGAAGGAAGGGAGAATGTTTTAGTATAGGTTTTTCGGCGCTCGCAAAACGCAACTGCAAAAGGTCATATGAGCGCCAGAAGATTAGAGGGTAGCAAACATAAAAAAAGAAGAAGGGGAGATAAGGACAATAGATGTTTGATAAGACAGAAGGAGCAAACCACAGCAGAGCACCCGCAAACTACTTACAAGGCATTTCTGACAACTTCCTTTTCACGAAAATTAAACAAAAAACGAACGGCAAGTCAGTATGGTATACTGGACAGTCCGACCGTCGACCAAAAATACTATTATTTATGAAAAGTAGAGTTTGCCTGAGTAAAGGGCAGCACATCGACACAATAACAGTCATTTAGTGCTGGGGGGAAAGCAGGACATACAGACAGAAACATTCAAACAGGGAAGAAAAGAACAGAGGACCTACCACACCAGCAGTCCCTTCAACCCACCCATCAAAGCCAACATAATCCCAACTTCAAGAAAACACATTTAGAGAAACATCACATTCAACCTAAAAAAAACTAATCAGAAACATTTCTAGTTTGTTTCGCAGAATAAAAAGAAATACATTGACACAACAAATTCAACAAAAACAACAAAACAGGTGTTTTTAGTTTTAGTAAGAGTTTTACGGCACTTGCAACAGATTCACAAAAACAGCAACAGCGAATTTGTTTTGTTTTTTTGTTTTAGTAAGAGTTTTACGGCACTTGCAACACAATAAGGTCATATAAATGCTGAAGATTAGAGGTGTTTACAAGAGAGTAACAAACAAAAAAAAGAAGGAGGGCAGATAAAGACGATAGATTTTTTATAGAAAAGAAGGAGCAAATCACACCAGAGCACCCACCAACCACCCACCCCTTCAATCACACTGCACGACAAGCTCAACTATAAACGAGTACATAGAAAAAAACAAAACAAAAATAGGCCAACCCAAGCTGGGAGTGAGGGATACAACATCCCAGCAGAAAGATGTGCGGTAGATACTCGGAAAAAAAAAAGTGTTCTACCCACTCGGGTCTCCTGCATGTGAAAGCCGCAGCGTAGCGCCTGACAGTAATACACCACTGACGAAAGTCTATCGCTCTCCAATGCTTTCAACACATCATAATGAAAACAGACTGTAAACCACCAAAGCCACAATTTGCAAGCTACCATTATAACCATACTGGATCTGGGTTCACACACTTGACACACAACCATTTATACTTTATCCTGGGAAAAAGACAGGAAGCAAAAATATAGCAAAGAGGTGAAACCCTCAAGAGAGACATTCCTGTCTCACATACGTTCACACAATGGGCCTGTTGCATATTTGGGAAGTCTGAATTTTATGCCTTTGTTGTCCCAAAAAAATGCCGGCACAATGTGCTGTTGAAAAGTAAAACCCCTGGTCAGCAAAGGTCATAAATTTAGTAACGAAAAGAGACCTGCTGGTGCAACCATCAAAGTACCACCAAGCACAAAAGCTGCATGATTCTCTTTCAGTTTAGATTTAGTAAGAGTTTTACAGTAAGCACTTGCAACACAGTAAGGTCATAAAGGAGGCGGGATAAGAGGATGGCGAGATTCTCTTTTTTTTCTTCAACCACATCATGGTAAAAAAAAAAAACCAAAAAAAAAAAGAATTACTGAATTTTTGACATTTAGCCAAGTGGGATAAATAACACCTCTCCTTATCTAAAACATGGAGAAATAATAAATTCATAAATATTGACTGGACTAAAACTAACTGCAAGAAAGTAAGTTGCTTTTGGAAAATGATACATCATCTGCCAAAAGTTGACAGTCAGATTAAGACACTCAGAGCACTAAACTGAAAAAAGTGGAAGCAAAATGCCTCACCACAAAGCTAGTCGATCACAATCACCCATATCAAAAAGAAGCAAGAAAAAACATACCACAGACAACTCCTGCCAAATGAATCGCAACAATAGCTCAACATTCAAGGAGAGACCCACCACAGGTAACTGTTTAAGTTTTAGTAAGGTTTTAGGGCACGTGCAACTAACTGCATACGGACATATGAGCGCAAAGGGGTGGATGTCAACAGAGAAGTCCAAACGGGGAATCAGGCTTACTCTTTAGTTTATTTTAGTTTTAGTAGAGGTTTTATGGCACTCGCAACTGCATAAGGTCATATGAGCGCCAGAAGATTAGTGCTGTTACAAAAGAGTAACAAACATAAAAAAAGAAGACGGGGAGATAAGGACGATAGATGTTTTATAGGAAAAAAGAAGCAAACCACACCAAAGCACCCGCCAACCACCCACAGGATTACTCTGCTCACCTCTCTAGCTTAAACAGCACAAAATCTGCTTCGACTATCAAAGCACCCCAGAGATAGTTCACAAGAGTGACAAAAAACAAAACCAGCAGAGGAAAATGACGATAGTAAGGACGAGGAAAGAAAAAGCAGCAGTTCCCCCTATGTTGTTCCAGCACAGTATGAGAATGACATTGATAAATCAGCCTATTTACAATTCTACTATGCACGAGAAGATGTTAATATCCCCCCTTTGGGAATGGCCTAAAGACACCTTCAGTCAGTGGCACTGCCCTGGTGGGAAAGGACCACAGGGAACAAAGCAACACAACTATTGGTTAGAGTAAAGAGAAGCACATCGACACAATAATGGTCATTTAGTGCTGTTAGTGCTGGGAAAAAGTAAGACAGACACACAGAAACAACAGAGAGAAAGTAAAAGAAGTAGGACCTGTCAGTGGCACCCTCCAACCACCCTAAAAGCAACACAAGAACCCGACAGTAACACATCAAACTAAATAAGAAAGCTAGCTGGAAGACTGATGAGAATTTGCGGTGGGGGTTTGGAAAATTACAACTTACACCCCCCCCCCCCCCCCCCCCCCAAGACAGTGAAAATGAGATGTAACAGCCACTTTTTTGTTTTAGCTTTATTAACAATTTTACGGCGCTTACAAACACAAGAAGGTCATGTGTTACAAGAGAGCAACAAACCAAAAAAAGAAGAGATAAGGACTATAGACATTTGATAGGAAAGAAGGAGCAAACTACGCCAGAGCACCCACCAACCACCCATCACACCCACTAGTTATGCAATTCATCGACAAACGAAAGCGTTACCTATGGTCATGTCAAGGTGTGCCACTGCATAAAGAGCTAGGTTTTCACTCGTGTGCACTACAACTACAATTTTTTCAAGCACCTTCATCTACAAAGGTGTGTTTGTACCCTGACAAGCATTACATGATAAGATTTGTACGCTGCTGACAATTCGGTTTGGTGTGTCACCGTACACACCTACACAAAGCACATCCTCTTTTCAACACACATCATATTATATGCTTAGACTCATGAACTGACACACAATCACATGCACATATATAAATAAACAATTATTAGAAATAATACTTAAACTGGACACAGAGTCAGTATTCTGATAATATTCCCCACAGTATTCTGATAGTACAAGCTTTTTAAAAAAAAAAGTTCAAGTGGGGCTTTTTCTTTCACATTTAAAACCAGCTAATGAGAACCATTAAGATAAATCTGATTTAAAAAAAAAAAAAATTATTTCCATCATGGTCAGTCAGAATGAGCACTAGCATGGACAAAGTCGAAACATCTGCAAACGTTATTGCTGTTCTAATTTGGCAATCGTTTGTGTAAAGTGTAAACAAAACTAGCAACCAAAAATAATAAAAAGAAAGAAAAACAGCATCCACAACGGCCCCCTGTATCCTTTACTTAGTGTGTCGACGAGGAATGCTGCAATTTTTTTCAACTACGACCATGCTACAGCCAGTTAAAAACGGAGAAAAAAATACGAAGTGAGATGCAGACCACACATCAGCGCCCGCATCCAACCTACTACACATTACACATGATGAATTTATAACGAAGAACTTACTCCCCCTCCCCCCCC